CCCCAAAACCCCAAAACCCCAAAACCCCAAAACCCCATTTGACAATTATTCTTGCCAATTAGGAAAATGTGTACCTTATTAATTAAAATTTAGATTATGTTGAAGGTTTTTTGAAATTAATCCAATTCATTCAAGTGGACTTTGAAATTGGTGAAGGGAGGAAATCCTCGAGAGCTCTCTGTGTCATACTCATTTCGCAATGTATTTTTTGAAATTGTACTTAACTTTTTGAGATCTGAATACAAAGATAACTCTGATGAGCCATGAGAATGTGAAAATAGAAAAGACAAAGTGGACAAGACGGTTGGCATAAAGTGGTGCATCTCCGTTATAAACAACAGCACCTTCCTTATAGTTTTCAAAGTTTTTCTTCAAAGTATATTCTTAATGAGTATCCTTATTGTTTCTAAGCTTGAAATCCTATTCTTGCCATTCCTTTGATTGAGTAGCTGGGACTGAGAATTCAAGATCAATGTTAAAGTCTAATCTGGACATGCCAACTTGCTTAATATATCCAATAGTTTCTGGTAAAGGTGATAAATCAAGGTATTCAGAATAGGCCAATTTCTCTGAAAATTCGTCTGAACAGACTCTTTTCCCCTTATTATTAAGGTGATAGTTTTGAACGTGCATTGTCAACTCTGGGGCCTTATCTCTGCTAGAATTTATGTAAGAGTCGATTTAGGCTGCACTGATTTGATTCTTGAAATATTTTTCAGTGTTCAAGAAAGATTCAGCAATTGCACCAACATAAAAAATAGCAGCAAAGATGTAAAGGAATCCAGATTCATAGCACCATTCAGCCATGAAGGCAAAGAAAACAGCAATTATCAACATTAAAAGGTTTGCTGGGGCCCATAGGAAATAGTCTGGGTTTTGATCTTCAGTTACAACTTCAGTATCGTAATAGAATATGCATTCAGTTTTATTTTTTCCATTCGTTCTATAGCCATAACCATGCTTCTTATCCATATAATAAGGGCAGGTAAGAGACTGGGTTGAACCAACCAACTAGGTAGTCCCTAGACCATGTCTTAGATCATTAAGCCAGGATCCCTCGTACTATACTCCATCTATATCTTTGAATTTTCCCTGTCCTTCTCTCTTATCTTCAACCCAAATGCCTTCGTAGAATGATCCGTCTCTGTAGGTGCACTTACCTTGGCCGTGTCTTAGTCCTTTAGCATTATGTCCACCCTCGTATTTTGAACCAGCTTCGTTAATCATTTTAAGAACAGCTTTAGTTATCATTTAAACTGCTAAAGGTTTTGGTATTGTGTCCACATTTGGTACATAATCGGGTCTCTGACCTAGATTTTAACCGGCTGCATTTTATTATTTTTCAGGATCATGATATTCGTAGATAAGAGGAGATGTAATTTGATCTGGTGTCTTTTCCATTGGAATTATAGATATTTTAAATAATATAACTACTATCAAAATTTACCATATCTTTTAAATAACGATATTTTGGGGTTTTGGGGTTTTGGGGTTTTGGGGTTTTGGGG